AAGATAGTATGGAGGGTATATTAAGTTTGTAACACCTCGAAATATACATTTTAGACCCCACAAAGTACATATATTCTTGATCAGCATAAAATTCTATGTCGATTTATCAATGTCCGTCCGTCTGTGGAAATCACTCTAGCTTCCGAACGAAACGAAGTAGGTTGATAAAATTTTACTTAAATGTGTATTATGTCTGCAGGACTTTTGGTATTAAAAATGGGTCATGTAGGTCCACGTCTTCGTATAGCGACATTATTTACAGGAATTGTTTCAATTTTGGTATTTGAAGTTCGTAATGGATACGAAGATAGAAAATGTGTCATGTAGGTCCACGTTCTCGTATAGCCCCCATATAACGGTACCTCCCCATATTAGGTAATCTGATGATTTTAGAGACATTATTTACCGGAACTGTTTCAAATTTTGTATTTGAAGTTCGTAATGAGTACTACAGTCTAAGACAGAAAATTGTCTGTGCAGGTACTCGTCCTCGCATAGCCCCCATATAACGGTACCCCCCCCCCCCCCCCCCCCCCCCCGATATTCGGTATTTTGATGATTTTAGCGACATTATTTACCGAAATTATTTCAAATTTGGTATTTGAATTTCATAATGAATACTACAGCCTATGACAGAAGTTCGCATTTGAAGTTCGTAATGGATACTACAGTCTATGACGGAAAATTGTCTGTGCAGGTCCACGTTTTATAACCCCCATGGTAACTCCCGATATTCGGTATTTTGATGATGTTAGCTACGTTATAAACAGATTTTTTTTCAAGTTTCGCATTTGAATATTGTAATAGCTTGTGACAGATGTTGTCTATGCAGGTCCACATCGTCGTATAGACCCTAAAATACGGCATACATTTTTAAGATTTTAACAGAATTTTTTAACGGATTGGTTTTATTTTTTTGAAAATTGTAAAATTTGTACCAAATGGTGGAGGGTTTTCAAAGTTCGGCCTTGCCGAACTTACAGCTATTTTACTTGTTTTTTTTTTAATTTTCCTTTTGCTATCTCACCAATATCTTTTGAAAAAACAAGAAATATTTCAATATTGGAAAATCCAGTTTGAAATTTTGTTTATTTATTTATTTATTTACTTTTCTTTTTTTTTTTTTTTGAAGTTTTAGACATAATTTTCAAATAATCCTTTTTAATGTTTGTGGGTAAAATGTTTCTTTGCAAGACATTTTCAAAATCTTTCATTTTTTGGACGTAACAAGTTTTTCTAGGTTGGCTTTGAATATTTTGTTGTCGTCTAATGAACTCTGAAGGGGGGAGTATTCGTTCTTTTGTGCACTTTCTCCTAGAAGATGCAGAGAGGCACTTTCCAATGTTGCGGTACCAAATGTAGTACGTTTTGGTACTTTTCGTACACTTATAGAGCGAATTAAAAAAAAAAAACATTTGATACATTTGTCATACACACCATGAGTGACTCTCATTCCAAATTTAAGATTTGTAGCTCTACTGCTTCCTTAAATACAAAGGATACCATATTTAGTGACTTTTAATGCTTTTCGTACCGTTCTTTCAGAAACCCATCCTTTTTGATAACTTCGGACTATTAGTGACCCTCACCCAAAATTTCTAGATTCTAGCTTCAGCCTTTTCGTCTGAACATATCGCACAATTCCATTCGGCAAATATTGAAAAATGAGCTCGTGGTAAAGCCATTGAAATTCCAGAAGGTGCAAGAACTTACACCGCAACAGAAAGAAAACAGACTCAAAAGAGCTAAAAAGTTGCTTCGCTTGGCCGAAAGTGGTGAACTGCCGAATTTGGTGAACTGCTGGACATTCGTTGTCCAGCAGTTTGTAAACAAACAAAATGATCGTATTTACTTGTCGAAGAGTTGAGCTAAAAATGTGCCCCTTCGGTTGGCCACCAGAACTCAAGCGACGGCCATGGTGATGGTGTGGGCCGCCATAACAGTCGATGGTCGTTCGATCGGAATAAATTCGGAGTATTATCGCGAAAATATTCTGGAAGTTGTATTTAAGCATTTTAGCTGCAGACCTTGGACAGCACGCGCCACCCAAGAATGGTTACAAAATTAGGTCAATCGCTCAATTTCGAGAGCACAACGCCCACCCAAATCTCTGGACTATTGTGTCTGGAGTATTTTGGAAAGCAAGAGGAATGGGCCAAAATTCCGCAGAGCAACATTCGGGAAGCGTGTGTCGGTTTCATTGGCGGTTTTAATGTCATAGGTCGTGACCAATTTGAGCAAATCTGAACTTATTCTGAAATTTGATGCTATCTCCGTCATTTTTTGCTTTCATTCAATAAAATTAAAAAAAAAAAAAAATGAATAAACACTATGGCGTTTGACTTTGTTGCAGTTTTTTTTATCTCACCCTTATTATAAGACGAATAGCAATTCCTGAAATCACGTTAGAGTCCATATTATTTGATCGACAATTTGGCACAAAGGTTCTTATTATATACAGTTCCATTGGTGTTGAAAATGGACTTTATAGGCGGACTCAAGCGGACTCTTACTGCACATATGATAAGCGTTATAAAATTTCAAAATGTTGACCCTTCGTGTGGGAGATATATCATGGAGTGGACCAATATTGTCCACTTTCGCACCGAACCAAACACTAATACAAATATTGCGATTTTCAAAGTTTGGACAAAATTTGTATACGGTAAATTATTTTCTGGAAATTTCCACCTTTTGTGGCGGGGTACCAGACTCCAAATGCCCTGAAACGGGCAGTCATCAAATGATATATACCCTTTCTAGGCAGAAATTAGCATATATACTCTCCATAATAATGGGTGTTATGTCCAAAACGATTGCGAACATGAACCCCATCATGGGTATTTTTAACCCGATTACGCAAAAGTAAATTCTAAGAGGTGGAAACACCGGATTATCCGAATTTACAAAAACATATTTACATATGCACAACATTATTTGAAAGCTTGATGGGTTTGTTCGAATCAGTTCCAGAACAACCCAAGAAAATTGCAATTTTTGTACCGGAAATTTTTGAAAAACTCCTAAAAAGTCGAAAATGGACCCATTATGGGGTATTTTGATTTACACACTCTATTAAAGCCTACACTCTTGCCTTTCCAAAATGATAACCAATGTGCTGATAGCTGTTGTAGTTCCGAAGATATTAGTGATAACAAGTAAAAACGCTGTAAGTTCGGCCGGGCCGAACTTTGAATGTGGAGGGCATTTAAAGTACGGCCCGGTACATTTGGTACAAATTTAAAAATTTTCAAAAAATAAAATACGTTAATAATGCTGTTAAAATCTTAAAAATACTGAAGGTAGTCGTATATTAGGGTCTATACGACGACGTGGACCTGCATAGTCAAAATTTGGCACAAGTTATTACAATATTCAAATGCGAAAGCTTTTTATAATGTAGCTAAAATCATCAAAATACCGAATATAGGGAGGTACCATGGGGATTATAAAACGTGGAACTGCACACACAATTTTCTGTCATAGGCTGTAGTATTCATTACGAACTTCAAATACAAAATTTGAAATAGTTCCGGTAAATAATGTCTCTAAAATCATCAAAATACCGAATATCTGGAGGTAGCGTTATATGGGGGCTATACGAAGACGTGGACCTACATGGCATATTTTCTGTCTTTAGCCGTAGTATCTATTACGAACTTTAAATATCAATTTTGAAATAATTCCGGTAAATAATGTCCCTAAAATCATCAAAATACCTCATATCGGGAGGTACCGTTATATGGGGGCTATACGAAGAGGGCACCTACATGGCCCATTTTCAATACCAAAAGTCCTGCAGACATAATATACATTTGAGTAAAATTTTATCAACCTACTTCATTTCGTTCGGAAGCTAGAGTGATTTTCACAGACGGAAGGACATTAATAAATCGACATAGAATTTTATGCTGATCAAGAATATATATACTTCATGGGGTCTAATATGTATATTTCGAGGTGTTACAAACGGAATGACAAACTTCCTCCATATAAAAATTGTGAAATTGCGATTTTCTCCACTAATTCTCTACTTTATAACTTTTGTAAGTAGTCGGCTTTCGTCTATAGTCCTTTAAAAATTCTTTAAAACATCCACATCTATAGTCCTTTAAAAATTCTTTAAAACATTCACGTCTATAGTCCTTTAAAAATTAGTTAAAAATATCCACGTTTATTGTCCTTTAAAATTTTTTTTGAAAAAATCCACGTTTATTGCCCTTTAAAAATTGTTTAAAAAATCCCAATTTTTAGTCCTTTGAATATCCTTAAAAAATTGTTCAAAAAATCCACATTTTTAGTCCTTTGAATATCCTTTAAAAATTGTTTAAAAAATTCACATTTTTAGTCCTTTGAATATCCTTTAAAAATTGTTTAAAAAATCCAAAGCAAATGAAAAGTGACAGCTCTAAGCAACTTGGTTTATTTCCAATAACAAAACCAATAACATTGGCTTCTGTGACAACCAAAACCGATAAAATTCTAATTCGAAAATAAAACCGATAACATTGATTTACATGACACCAAAGCTTTTTTTCTTGTCGTTTTTAAAACCAATAGTGGCAAAATTGCTTTCTATGACAGCCCTGAATATCTTCAGAACTACAAGAGATATCAACACATATGACACCATTTTAGAAAGGCTATATATATGATAATGCGGTATTTAGATTTTAATACTCCATTATGTGTCTATTTTTGAATTTTTAGATGTTTTTTAAAAAGTTGCGGTACAAAAACTCCAATCCAAGCATAGCCCCTAAACTCAACATAAGCCTTGTTTTCTTTTTGGAGATTAAAAAAAAATTCGGACATAGTCCCGACTGCAAACGGTCATTCTCCAATTTTTTATGGGGGTTATTACCAAAAATCATGCCATAATCACCATAATTGCAATAGGGTTTATGGCCGGGCAGCTAGATTATCTTACTATTTTTCAACACAATCTCCAGTTTACAAAAGCCAATCCCAAAGAAAACTTCTTTACAATTAATTTTCGTTTCAATATTTTAATAGCTTACTGTTCAAAAACTATCGCATTTGACTTACAAAATAAAACGTTTCATAATAAAAAAATATATATTATAAATATCATAATATCACCATAGTATAAACTGAAGGTCACATCGTCGATTTCGTTGAAGTACTCTTGCAACTTCTCGTCGCAACAACTTTGATCGATTTTGCTGTCAGAGATGACACAACGACGAAGAAAACAAATTCCCATTGTAAATATTTTTCGAGTGACGGACACTAGGATTTCGTTTTGATAACAATCACAAATGAGTCTCCGCCAGCACCTCCCGCCTGCACCCCATCCAGCACTTGGTGCATAAGAAAATGTTGTTTATGGTAGATGTGGGACCATGGTGTGGTTAAACAATGAGCCCGACCAAACCATTTGATGCCCGTTTTGGGATTTTCTATAATCGCATCAAAATTGCTGACCTCATCATCGTCGCCAGCATCAATGTGGGATTGCTTTGAAGCATCCTCTCGCGAGAGATGGTCATTGGCTTGTTGGTGTAACGGATTCATGTGCCAAATGAAAATCGCTACTTTGGTGGTGGCTAGGGAGGGATTGGAGGAGTTTGCAACATTCAAGCTGTTGCTGTTGTTTTCCAAGGAACTGTTGTGGTTACTGTGGCTGGATGTGGCCAAAACATACCCTGCTGCCCCATTGTCACAGGACATGGGCACAAAGGCCACAAAGAATTTTTCCATTTGAGCTGGTGCGGTGGTGGTGGTGGTGGCGGATTCATTGGCTCGCAGATTTAGGCAGATTATGCTCTGCTGCAGGGCATCGTGGCGAATGGTTATACGCTGACCAAACTCAGCATAATACTGATTAACAGCCAACTGATGATCCTGAGTCAAATGGGTTAGCAGTTGCCATTCGTTGTGCAGAATTTTGGTGATGGTTGGGGTGTTGTCTGATGTTGTTTGTCTTGTTGACAAATTACCATTAGTCATTTGTTGTAGTTGTCCTGGTTGGTGTTGTTGAGTTGAGGCCATAACTTCAGTTGCTTCATCTGCTTGGGGCATCACGTTCTGTTGCAAGCAACATAATTTCCCAGTTGGGCACTGATAATATTGCTTTTGATGCTGATGCTGCTGCTTCTGCAGTCCTTGATGAGCTCTGGCTTCTTCATAAACTCGTAATATATATTTATTTGGTGTAGGTGTTGTTGTTATTGCAACATTATTTACAATTGCAACTTTATCTGGCTTATAACACTCTCTGCAATGACATTTTGCTCCGGCTGCTGCTGCTGCAGTTTGGACAGCCAATTCATTGCTAGCAAAGGTTGGATGCTTTTCAACAATGGACCGGACCGGCACCTGGACTGTCATTGATGTTGCTGTTGTCGTAACACCATCCCTGTAATCTTGTGATGACTTCCTGCTGCTGATGTTGTTGTTGCTGTTGTTGTTACCAAGCTCAGTGTTCACTACTGACACATTAACAACAACAGCATTTGTAGCTTCGAACAATCCCTGGTGTTGGTGCTGTTGCTGTTGCTGCTGCCCTACCATTGAATGATGTGGCCGTTTGTTTTCCTGTCGTCCCTCCTCCTCAACATTGCTTTCCGTTTCCTCCACTTTTTTCGTTTTGGTACGTCTTCGTCGACCCATACGCAAAGAGCTTAAAATGGAATCATGTTCCGTCTTCTTGATATCTTTGGCCTTAACTTCATCTTCATCTTGGCACTGTTGCTGCTGCTTGGACTCAATGGCCAACTTTGGTTGATTATGAAATTCCGTGCTACACTTCCTTCTATCTTTCGGCGAGCTTTTATTGTTGCGCACTACATGCCACAATACAAATTTCATGAAAAGAAAGCAAAGAAAAATAAATGAATAGAAAGAGAAAAGAATTAGATAAGATCCTTCTGTATTGCGAACGCACGGAACAGGAAAACTACGAAAGAAATAATTTCCCAGAACAGATTTGAAAATATTTAATTTGGAAATATACTTTTTTTTATTAAATAGTTGTAATGCTTTAAATTTGTGTTACAGAGATTATGAATGAATTTTGGGAAATGTGGACAGAAGCTGTAACTGGGATACAAATGAAGATTAAATTTAATTTTAATAAAATGGAACAAGTAAACAAGTTAAAAAGCAGTAAGTTCGGCCGGGCCGAACTTTGAATACCCTCCACCATTCGGAACGAATTTGGAAATAAAATCCATGAAAAATTCTGTTAAAATTTTCTAAATCCCGAATATTGCCGTTATATTGGTGTTTATACGACGTGGACCTACATGTGCATTGTTTGTCATAAATCATCAAAATATCGTATATAGGGAGGTAGGGTTGCATCGGAGCTGTGCGAAGACCTGGACCTGCATGGACAATTTTCTGTCACAGACTGTAGTTCCCACTGTCACAGACTGTAGTTCCCACTAAGACAAGATTTTATGTTAATTTCAGGTTTCATCTCGAAAAAAGTCCGAGGAAAAAGTGATCAAAAAAGGATGTGGAAATATTTTCGTTTTTTTATTTTTTTTATTTATTTATTTATTTTTTTTTTTTGGAACATTGATGCAAGCTTTTTTTTTTTGATATACAATGGATATAGAGATTTAATCTTAATCTTAATTTTACAAATTGAAATTTGATGCAGAATAATTTTAATTTTGATAGTTTCCCCAAGAAAGGAAATTTAAAGGAAGATTTTGACTCGGCTTGGATTAGGTTTAAATATACAGTGAAAACCCAGCACACAATTTTTACTTTTAGTACGTACATTTTGAATGTAATTTTTATAAAAGAAATATTGTACCTAGACATTTAGTTAATTTGAGATTTTAGTGAAATTTTGTGTATAATATTTCTTCTTTTAACACCTTTCGCCTCAAACGAAATTTTGTGCTACTTTCAGGCGTTAACTCGAAAAAAAGTCCACGGAAAATTTATCAAAGAAATAGGAAATATTTTTGTGTATTTCTTAGGAAACATTGCTCCAAATATTTTTTGATTTACCATGGAGATGGAGATTTATTTTCTTTGTTGATTTATAGTAGAATATGATAAAGAATATTTTTATTTTTGACTTAATCCTTCTAAAATGATGCTTTGATGAAGATTTTTGCACAAACTCACAAAAAGTACGGATTTAACCCTAAAATGTGTTTATAATGTATTTCTGAATTCCTCGCGTTTAGATAAAATTCAAACACTTCACATCATCTAGTACCTTTATTAGAATTTCATGACAAATAATTCTGCAGAATATTTCTACTTGCTACGATCCCTTGTAGTTTTTAACCATATTTTAAAAAAAAAGTGTCTAAAGACACTCGCTTTATTGTTATTTTCGTATTTTTATCTATAATATTGCCGAAGATACTGTATACCTAAAACGCACGGCTTCCGGGGAATCTTAATCTGAAAATATCCAAAAGTGTAGAAGACGGAGCGATGTAAACTTTCATACATGTGTCTTCTTTTTTAGCTCTACTTACATAATCTATTGGATTTTTTCCCTTAATTATTTTTTCTGTTGCACTATGTTATTTTTCGAATTCTTAAAAACGCACTGGTTTCATCTATCCCGGGCAACATCAAATATCCTTCCTCCAAATTTTGGATTTCTAGCTCGATCCCTTCCTCATATACCACTTTAAGGACCATTGAATGCCCACCAATACCAACATTTAAAATATCCAACTTCATCTGTTTAAGAAAATTTTGTACCATTAAGTACAGTTTTTACAGTACTTAGTTAGTGCATATTCCCTAGACCACCCTCAAATCTGAACCTTACTGACAGTGGCCCAAATACCGAGATTTCAATTGTCCGCTTCATACGTTCAATCACATTTCATACCATTTAGTACAGTTTTTATGGTACTTATTTAGTACATATTCCCAAGACCATCAAATCTCAAACTAACTAACAGTGACTTCCGTATATATCTTCAACTAAAGTTGAACTTAATTGTGCACCAAATGGCCAATATCAGTAAATGACCTGAATTTTGGGCCATACGACTGATTTCAGTCTAGAATCAAGTAGATCGAATGTGGTGAAAATCGGTCTAGATTTAGCTAAAGCTCCCATATATATGTTGTTTCTGATTTGGTATTTAAGTCCCTCACATGCCTAATATGCACAAGAATGATATTTGGTACAAAATATCAGATACAGTCCGGAAATACATCCGTCAAATTTTAACAAAATCTTTATCCGATTTCAGGCTTTTTGTTCACAAAATGGATAATATCTATCCCAACGACCTGAATTTGGCCATGACCGGATTCAGTCTAGAAGCAAGTTGATGTTCAAAAGAAATAATATTGGTCTCGACCGCCATTTGTGACTCAGGACTAAACAGGGATAAAATTGTGGACCGTTTATATCAACTGGGTATCCAACTAGGATTTGGAATTCTAAAATAAGCCAAATTAAGCCAAGTTAACCTAATTTGTTAAAAATTGCAGTGAAAACTTTTGAAATAGTTCAAATAGAGATATAAACTTATAGGGATACTACTGTGGACCTGGGCTAATAACTGAAGCAAAGTTAAAAACCTTTAAAATGCAAAAAATTAAGATCAAACACCCTATGTGAAAAACAAACCTTTAGCAAAATTCAGAAGCTCTACCTTGACTTCAATAGACGTGCTAGTCATATCGCCATGGAATTTTTAGCTAATATAGAGTAGGTGAACATTTTGGTACCTTAGACGAGCTGCTTCAACCGAAATGATAAAACAAGTAAAAAACATTAAGTTCGGCCGGGCCAAACTTTTAATACCCTCCACCCTAGGGTAAAAGAACATTAGAAGAAATGTTTCAAAAAACATTAAAATGCCGAATATCGGGAGGTACCGTTATATAGGGGCTTCACCAACACGTGCACCTATAATTACAATGTTTCGCCACACGAACTAGGACCCATTATGACCCACAAATACCAACTTTTACACAAATCAGTGAAAAAATGTGGCATAAATCATCAAAATACCGAATATCGGGAGGTACCGTTATATGGGGACTATACCAGAACGTGGACCTATACATGCAATGTTTTGCCACACGCTCAGGGACCCGTTGTGTCCTACAAATACCAATTTTCAGACAAATCCGTGAAAAAATGTGGCATAAATCATCAAAATACCGAATATCGGGAGGTACCGTTATATGGGGGCTATACCAAAAGTGGACCTATACAGGCAATGTTTTGCCACACGCTCAGGGACCCGTCATGACCTACAAATACCAATTTTCAGATAAATCCGTGAAAAAATGTGGCATAAATCATCAAAATACGGAATATCGGGAGGTACCGTTATATGGGGACTATACCAGAACGTGGACTGATATATCTCATTTTCAATACCAACCATCCTAGAGACAATACACACACTTGTGCCAAATTTCAAAGGTCTACGTCAAATAATGTGGGCTCTATCGTGATTTCAACAGACAGACAGACAGACGGACAGACAGACAGACAGACAGACGGACAGACAGACAGACAGACAGACGGACATCGCTAAATCGTCTTAGAATTTTATGCTGATTATGAATATATATACTTTATGGGGTCTACGACGAATATTTAGAGGTGTTGCAAACGGAATGACAAAGTTAATATACCCTCCTACCCATGGTGGAGGGTATAATGAAAATCCCATTCATGTCTTTGTGACATTAAAAGTTCGGCTTGATTGAATTTAAAATCATTCCTATATTTTTAAATATTATTTGAAACGCTACCACGATATATTCCATAGCAGCGACTCATTATAACTGCCTAACGTTATTTGTGGGTCACGCTAACTTTACTATAAATTAGCTTTGCACAATGAATTTATTTGGCCATAGCCTGAGGATTTTTTTTTTGCTTTTTTGATTTTGAGGTCATTTACATAATCATAAAGTCACACATTATTATTATAATTTTTCCCTAGATTTTTTTACGCATTTGTATAACCTCATAACTTTAATGTAATTAGCAAAGCTACCACACAATTTCGCTGCATTCATCGTGGTGTCTGTGATGTGTCTCCTGCTCGCACAGCTTAAATGCAAACATTGAAGTAGTAATGCGAAAAAATGAGGGAAATGTGACAGGGCACTGAAAGGAATTTTTATAAATCTTTTCTAGAATAAATTGAAAACCAGTAAAGAAAGACTTAAAGTCGGGTGGGACCTACGCTATGATTATAATTATAATTTAAAGTTCAAAAGACTAAATATGCCGAAGCATTTGTAACTTTTAAATTCGGACTTGTATTGCCCATTTGATATATATGGGAGCTATATCCAAATAGGAACCGATCACGATAAAATTTGGAAAAGATATTTCTGAGCTGTATTTGATATATTTCCCTGAATATCGTTGTTACGGAGTGCATATTAGGGCTGTGGGTAACAAATATGACAAATCGGATGAACAATACACATGAGAGCTATAGCTATATCTGAACTGATCTTCACCAAATTTGACATACTAGCTTCTTGACTCAATTCGGTCCTAAGTGCCAAATTCCATCCCATTTGGACAAATATTAGACGTTTGGTGCACAATAAAATCGGACGAAGTTATATATGGGAGCTATATCCAAATCTGAACCGATCTTGATAAAATTTGGCAACGATATTTCTGAGCTGTATTTCATATATTTCCCTGAATTTCGTTGTTACGGAATGTATATTACGGCTGTGGGTAACAAATATAAGAAAATCGGATGAACAATATATATATGGAAGCTATAGCTATATCTGAACCGATCTTCATCTAATTTGACATACTAGCTTCTAGACTCAATTTGGTCGTAAGTGCCGGATTCCATCACATTTGGACAAATATTAGACGTTTGGTGCACAATAAAAGGCAAATCGGAAGAGGATATATATGGGAGCTATATCTAATTTTTTATCGATTATCTCCAATTTCAATAGGTTTCTTCCTCTGGCCAAAAAAATGATTTGTGCAAAATTTCATCTGGATCGGGAACTGTACTTTGTTCACAAAATACACGGAAAGACGGAAATTTTGAAATCTTGTATTAGGGTCCCTGTTGGTAGGTAGATTCATAACGAAGAGGTCGTTTTAGAAATGTACACTAAAAGTGCACGAAAAGCACCAAATAGTACTACGTTTGGTACAATTTACCTTCGGATGAACACATAGTACTTGAAATCTGAAATTTGGCATTAGGGTCGCTGTTCACGTGTTGCCTAGACATATGGAAGTGATTGTGGAAATGTGTACTTTATTTGTACGAAAAGTACGAAATGATACTACAATTGGTATTGGGTGAAGGGATAGAACTGAAACCCTGAAATTGAATATTCAGGTCTCTGTTGGTATCTAAGATTGAGATCTAGAGATGGTTTTAGAAATGTGTACTATATTTGTACAACAAGTACCAAATGGTACTAAATTTAGTACTGAGAGAAGGGAGAGAGTTGAAATTCTGAGATTTGATATTTAGATTTCTGATGGTATCTGTGCTCGAGATTTGACGGTAGTTTGGAAATGCGTCCTATATTTGTACGAAAAGTACTTCATGGTACTAAATTTGGTTTTTGGTGAAGGAATAGAGCTGGAATCATCTCATTTGATATTGAGGTCTCTATTGGTATCTGGAATTGAGATATGCAGTTAATTTTTGAAATGTGTACTATCACTGTACGAAAAGCACTAAATGAACGAATAGAGCTGGAATGTTTTAAAAATGGGGTCTCTGCTGAATGTAAGCCTAGATATTTGACCTATTCTGAGATTTATAATGTAATCGTATGTGGAATATTTCTTTCTTTTACCGCTTCTGTATAAAACGGAGTTTTATGTTACTTTCATGCATCAACTCGAAAAAAGGCCGCAGAAAAATCCATTAAAAATACTCATATTTATAAAATAAACTCAACTAAAGTGGTTTTATATCCTCCACAATAGTATAGAGGGTATATTAAGTTTGTCATTCCATTTGTAACACCTCGAAATATACATTTTAGACCCCACAAAGTATATATATTCTTGATCAGCATAAAATTCTATGTCGATTTAGAAAAAAAATTCTATGTCCGTCCGTCTGTCGGTCTGTGGAAATCACTCTAGCTTCCGAACGAAATGAAGTAGGTTGATAAAATTTTACTCAAATGTGTATTATGTCTGCAGGACTTTTGGTATTGAAAATGGGCCACGTAGGTCCACGTCTTCGCCACCATATAACGGTACCTCCCGATATGCGGTATTTTGAAGATTTTAGCGACATTATTTATCGGAATTGTTTAAAATTTGGTATTTGAAGTTCGTAACAGATGCTACAGCATAAAACAGAAAATGGGCCATGTGGATCCACGTCTTCGTATAGCCTCCATATAACGGTACCTCCCGGTATTGGGTATTTTGATGATTTTAGAGACATTATTCACCGGAACTATTTCAAATTTAGTATTTGAAGTTCGTAATGGATACTACAGCCTTAGACAGAAAATGGATCATGTAGGTCTTCGTATAGCCCCCATATGACGGTACCTCCCGATATTCGATATTTTGATGATTTTAGCGACATTATGCACCGGAATTGTTTCAAATTTGGTACTTGAAGTTCGTAATGGATACTACAGCCTAAGGCAGAAAATTAGCCATGTAGGTCCACGACTTCGTATAGCCCCCATATAACGGTACCCTCCAATATTCGGTATTTTGATGATTTTAGGGACAATATTTACCGGAATTGTTTCAAATTTCGCATTTAAAGTTCGTAATGGATACTGCAGCCTATGCCAGGAATTTGTCTTTGCAGGTCCACGTTTTATAACCCCCATGGTTCCTCCCTATATTAGGTGTTTTGATGATTTTAGCTACATTATAAACAATTTTTCTTCAAGTTTCGCATTTGAATTTTGTAATAGCTTATGACAAAAGTCGTCTATGCTAGTCCACGTCGTCGTATAGACCCTAATATACGACTTCATTTGGTATTTTTAAGATTTTAATAGGATTTTTAACGGATTTTATTTTATTTATTTTTTTTTTTTTGAAAATTGCCAAATTTGTACCAAATGTTGGCGGGTATTCAAAGTTCGTCCCGGCCGAACTTACAGCTTTTTTACTTGTATATATATATATATATATATATATATATATATATATATATATATATATATATATATATATATATATATATATATATATATATATATATATATATATATATATATATATATATATCCCCCCAATTATTTCCTTTCGTAGCTCTCCAATTTGAGTGTTATTCATATACCAAATCGATTTTTTTTCCAGAGTGTATACTTTACCTCCATCACAGGGAAAACTATCCGCCAGCAATGTAAATAACTTATCCGACAGCAAACATCTACCCCGTGGTCCCAATGGCACCCGACAAACTGGACATTTTTCTGAGCGACTGCGGCAATTATTGCAGAGAACATGACCGTTGCAGCACTGCCAGCCAGGTGGTTTTACAACCTTCAATTAAATAAAACAAAAAATTTTAAATAAATAAAAGTTGAAATTAAAAGAATGAATGAATTTAATGTTTTTAAATTAAAGTGTAGATTAATAATAAATAAAGAGCAAATAGATACAAAACCTAGAAAGTGACAAACAAATTTGAAAAAGGTAACATATGTGGTTTATTCAGATTGTTTTTTATTTTTTTGCGAATTTGTTATTATTTTCAGGTGTTTAAATAATTTTAACAATACATCGTTATTAAATAGTGACTACGAATTTTCCATAGACATGATACCCAAATAAAAGCAAAATTGGAGTAGGAGGAGAAAAATAATAAAAACACCTGTTCGAACACATTACCGTCTCCAGTGAGTGACAAGTGGTTGCCTTTCACTTAGTTTGGCAAGTCTATGTCGGGTGGATTACCCAAGAGGCATAGAGATTCAGAAATCGATTTTCTTGCCAAAGAAACCATTTGTTTGTCAAATCATTTTAGGGAGTGGGCATAAATTGTCCTTAAAGACGAGTTTTTTTTTATTTTGAAAAAAAAAAAAAAAATAATTCTGATGAAATTTGCATTTTTTGGAGACAATGGTCGATATCGCGTAAATTATTTTTATATTAATAAAGAAGAATTGTTGGGACACTTTAGAATAAAATTATGTGTTATTTTAAGTTTTTTCAGTTACTCAGTTACTCTTATTATACCCTCCGCCATACTATGGAGGGTATATTCATTTTGTCATTCCGTTTGTAACTCATCGAAATAATGCGTAAAATTCTAAAACGATTTGGCCATGTCCGTCTGTCTGTTGTAATCACGCTATCTTTCGAACGAATTGAGATAGAAGGCTAAAATTTTGCACATGTTTATTTTGCCAGTAGGCAGGTTACGTTCGCAAATGGGCCATGTAGGTCCACGTTTTCATATAGCCCCCATAAAACGCTACCTCCCGATATTCGGTATTTTGATGATTTAAGCGACATTATTCACTTGAAATGTTTCAAATTTGGTATTTGTAGTTTGTAATGAATACTGCAGCATGAGACAGAAAATTGTCTGTGCAAGTCCACATGTTCGTATAGCCCCCCATATAACGGCACCACCCTATATTCGGTATTTTGATGATTTTAGCGACATTATTTACCGGAATTGTTTCAAATTTGGTGTTTGAAGTTCGGCACGGCCGAACTTACAGCTTTTTTACTTGTTTTTCAATTATGTTCTTATAAGGTTGAACATCTTATAACAGCAAATTGGCACCCCTTATCGACGTCTTAATATGTTAAAGGAATAAATCGTATTTATACCCTCAGCAATACGGCTACAGAAGGTATAAAGGGTGAGATGGAAAAACTGAAACCAACTTCAGACTGCTGTCATTTCTAAGCCACTCTTCCGATAGCTGTTATTCCGATATTCCAGAGACAGCTCATTATAGTGTTTACAAGTGTACAAAAGCATTTTGGTGAGAATTTTTTAGAAAAAAAGTTTTTCGTGATGGAATTCAAGCGTGATTGTGTGATTTCTTTATATTTGGCTGGAAAACCACAAGTGGCTATCGTTAGGGCACTCCAGCATTTAAGCATAGGCCGACGTAAAGAAGCGAATTGATCCAAACCCGTGTCGCAGTGGCCGAAAAATGGCTCTCAAGCTTAACATATCTTAATATTTCATTCGACAAATATTGAAAAATGAGATCGGGGTAAAGTCTTTGAAATTCTAAAAAGTGCAAGAATTTACACCGCAAGAGAAAGAAAATAGACTCAAAAGACCTAAAGAGTTGCTTCGCTTGGCCGAAAGAGGTGAACTGCCGATTTTGGTTCTCTCCGATAAGAAAACATTCGTTGTCCAGCAGTTTGTAAACAAACAAAATTATCGCGCTTACATGCCAAAGAGGTCAGCTGAAAATGTGCGCTTTCCGTTGGCCACCAGAACTCAAGCGCCAGCCATGGTGACGGTGTGGGCCACCATAACAGCCGATGGTCGCTCTCCGCTCGTATTAATCGACCGTTGCATCAGAATAAATTACGAATATTATCGTGAAAATATTCTGGAGGGTGTATTAGAGCCTTGGCCTCGCTTCATTTCCAGCGCACAATGGCCACCAAAATCTCCGGATACCAATCCGTTGGACTATTTTGTCTGGAGCATTTTGGAAAGCAAGGTTGGCATTATCTTTACCGAAGATACCTTTAGTCTTAAACCGTTGTTTCCTCAGTTGCCATATAGCTGAGGGTATAACCATTATTTTGTCTCTGGGACCTCCGAAATGGAGGTAAAGTACTTTTTAAGAAAATTTTGGAAAAAATTATTTATAATTGATTTCTTCCATGCTGGAGAATATTAGAATTTTGGCAAGGGAGGCATCAAAAACGTTTCCACTTGGTATAGCCTTTGTGGTGTGGGCTTGTTTTGGTCCAACAATTTGCAACACTTCGACAAATTATTATGGATATACAACCAAATTATGCCTGAAAATAAGTATGCCAAATTTGATCGAAATCGGTTCAGATATAGCTACAGCTCCCATATATATTGTTCGCCCGATTTGTTATTTTATTCCTCCGCAGCCGTATTATGCACTCTGTAACAACAATATTTGGGGAAAATATATCAAATACAGCTCAGAAATATCTTTGCTAAATTTTTACGAGATCGGTTCGGATTTGAATATATCTCCCATATATAACTTCGTCCGATTTACCTTTTATTGTGCACCAAACGTGTAATATTTGCCCAAAAAATTTGGCACATACGACGGAATTAAGTCTAGAAGCTAGTATGTCAAATTTGGTGAAGATCGGTTCAGATATAGCTATAGCTCCCATATATATTATTCATCCGATTTGTTATATTTGTTGCACACAGCTTCAAGATCGGTTCAGATTTGGATGTAACTCCCATATATAACAAATGGGCAATACAAGTCCGAATTTAAAATATGCAAATACTTCGGCATATTTAGTCTTTTGAACTTTTAATTATAATTATAATCATAGCGTGTATGATTGAATTTTCCCATAAAAACTTTCAATTGTTATGTGGAGCTCTACTAAATTAGCAAAATGGTTCAGGGTATCATAAAGTCGGCCCCGCCCGACTTTAAGACTTTCTTTACTGGTTTACTTATGAAACAAGTTTATATTTTCTTTACCATTAAGACCACATCACTAGTGTTTGAATTCAAATTTTCTATTTTTTGAATTAAATTTGCAGATATGATGGAATATGTTCTTATATCCAGAGCGCAGATTTGTTCCTTCTCATTCGGGTGTGAAACTTGCTCGCGAGCGTTATTGCTCGAAGAGTGGTTGTTTTGTACTCTTTTGTTTGTGTTGTGGGAATCACTCGAAATAGAGTTCAAGTTTGATCTAAGAGTAAATTTGAGTAGAAACAAGTACTACAATTTGAGTAGAAACAAGTTCGGCCCGGTCAAACATTTTATACTCTCCGCCATTCGGAAGAAACTCAAAAAACAAAAAAAAACGTAGAAAAATGGGGCTCAAATGAAAACCTTGCTTATACGAAGACCTGGTCCTGGATAAGTAATTTTTTGTCATAGGTTGTAGTAACGATTCCGATTTTCAAATACCAAATTTGACACAATTCTAATGAATAATGTCGCAAAAAATCCTGGAAATACCGATTATCTCGGGGTAGCGTTATATACTAAAATATATAGACAATTCCCTCCCAGGGGGTAAAGTACTCAGAGAGAACTCCTTGTGTGGATTTTCAGATTATTCCATTGAAAAATATGGCTAAAATCATCAAAATACCAAATATCGCGGGCACCATAGTACCATAGTACTTCCGCTCAAATTCGAGAAAAGAATAAAATTCGTTCTAATTTTCGCAGATTTGGTTATGGCTACCTTTCTTTGATCAAGGAAGAGAAACAGGAAATGTCTTATGCTTAACAAATGCAAGATCTAGCTCTACGCAAAGCACTGGAGGCTTTACGAGACTATAGCATCTGTTTATTTCTTTGATATCTGTGGTTACTTAGTTTTCAGGTAAATAACCTAAGTGTGGTTATGTCTGCATGACTTGGATCAAACTAAATTTAGCTGCTTATTCAATATGTTTTTCATTTCAGATCATAACATGTTATTCACTGAATGATGTCATACGAATTTCCAAATATTTGCATTGATGTTTTCTCTTTTCTTTTCGGGAAAACAATAGGATTGCATTTGCTCATGCAAAAAAATAATGTTCGATAATGGTATGGCGAATAGTATATATACGTCATGTTCGGAAATTCATTTAAGTGCAGTCAGTATCTCCAAACGACAACATGAAATACGAAGCGATTTTCATTTTTGTCATCTTTGTGTCGGCAGCGGTGGTTAATGCTGATCTAACGCCCGAGAAGCATCTTCTTGCGGAATCAGTAATTAGAGAGGAAGCTGTAAGTTGGTCAAAGGACATTTAATATTAATTTTACAATAATGAAAATTCCTGTTAATTATTTTATTGTAGAACTATGTCGATCGTGAGTGTTTCGATCAGGTGAAAGATGAGTTTATGCGAGAACTCATTGAAGTCATTGACAAGTACATTGAACGAGTTGAAAATGGTGGAATTGTTTACAAGAAAGGAATTCGTCTAAATGTCAACCGATTTATTCAGAAAACCCTGTTGAAAAAATCTGTTGTAAGTGGTAAATTATGTACATACATGTATATCGTTGAATTGACATGTATGACATACATGTATGTCGTTGTCAAAATAATTATAATTTGTCTGTTTCTTTTTCTTGTAGGTCAATGCAAGCAAAGAATGCATACAAAAGGTTAAGGATGTTTTCAAAGTGATCCTTAAGAGACGTTATGGCCGATTTATTAAAACCATTGATCCATATTTTTAAAAAAATAAGAACAACTGAAATAAATTTTCAAAAATTGTAGTCCGAAAAATCTCTTGGCAGAAAGTTTATAAAAAATAGAAGAAAATATCAAGTGTGGTGGGTGGGAAGCTTCAAATATTTTTGTGAGGAGAAAAAAATTATACGAAATTTAAAAACAAGTAAGCAAAGGCTATAGTCGTGCAGGGCCGACCATGTAATACCCTATAACACTACAATATGTTGGAAGCCCCCTTATGTCCGAATCCGTTTTGGAATATTTCGCTTTTGAAATTATGTCATGGAGCACTGCCCAGATATTTCCCTTAGCATTTTGACCAGGGACATTTGCACAATATTTACGCACTCCATCGTGCTGTTAGTTGTTGTGGTCCATTTTACAATGAGTATCCAAAATGTTAGAATTCTTTCCTATTCTTAACTCTCTTCAATTGTGTGAGCAGGAAATTTTTTCTGTTTTTGATTCATTTGAACCCCCAAATAATTTGCGATCAACTCCAAAAGCAAGAGGCCCCTCTGTATCATCAAATTTAAACTCATCTATATGATTTGCTTGTCTACGATATTTGGCTTTATTCATCAACGAAATCAGCATAAAAAAGCCAGAAGTTCACCTTTTGTGTATTTTGGATATCGCCTGCAAGTAATGTTGGTATTTTTACACACGAAAGTAGTTGTCCATTCTACCCTCTGCCCTAAACTTTAACTTCATGCTAGATTTCCTTTGGATTCAATTTGTTAACTTTAAAACGGCTGCAAAATCAGGAACACTTTTAGTTGTTGGTCCATTTCAACCCCAAAATATATTGTGAACATCTTCTGAGCCTAACCCTCCCCTTTTTCGTGAGGATAATTGCAATCTGTACAGGGTTGCCCATATTCGACGGACCTTTGGGCCCATTCCAATCGACGAGGCTTGTCCGCAGGCAAAATTCTTTGCGTCAATTGAATTTTGTACGGGAACAAATGCAAATCAATGCGAATAATCCGTTGTAAAATGGACCGAGGCATGCCCAACTGCTGAGAACGGCGTTTTTGTGATGTTCTTGGGGACCTCTCAACACTGGCTCGTACGGCAGCGATATTCTCGGCCGATCGCCTTGGTTGACTTTTATATGGCCTCTTCGGATTAGAAAGAGCCTTACCAGTCGAAAATTTTTCATATAAACGCTTAATGGTGTTCTTAGAAGGCGCACTTCTCACATTTTTTAAGGTTTTAAAAGCACGTTGAGTTTTCACAATTGACTTCTTGTAGATTTCAACTATTTCAGAGCGCTCGCGTGGCGTGTATTGGTTTATGGTAAAAATCTGCTTGGACTGACGCTTCAAACGCGGTATGTCATTAAGCGATGTGACATCTCTGTCAAAAGTTATGGCGTTGCCAGATGGGTCCGTCGAATATGGGCAACCCTGTATATAATAACCCCAAACTGTCTTGTAAGGTGAAAAATTATTACAAAATGTACAATTCAATATTATACGTCAAATTGAAAAAAATCGCATGCGATAAATAAAATAAAAAAAATGTCACAAAATACTACAAAATCCCTAATTACATCATTATAGGCCTCTTTTATGCGATTTTTTTTGGATTTTATACTTTTATGTTTAGAGGGCTTTCTAAATTTACAAAACTTGTCAAAATCGCTCCAGCCTTTCTGAAGATATAAGCATTCTAACTAACATCCCCTTCCTGTCTCTATATACATTGTATATATTTCCCTATATACATCCGATATATTTACTATCGGCATCTACGTAACGGTCAGAGTTGACCTGTTCGTCTAATTGTTATTTCACCGGGAATAAAAATATTTGCAGTTTAATGGAAATTTTGACTTTTATTTAACACATATGGTCCAACCACTAAATATTACCCGATGACCATTAAAATTAGAAGGCTTCTGCCCAGCCTTTATCTCTAGCCCCATGCTAACTTCCTCTTCGATTGATTTCGACCTGCAAAATCAGGAATTTTTTTTTTGGTCCATTTTAAATCCTAAATATTTTGCGATCATCTCCAAAAGCAATAGGGTTCTATTCTGACCTTAACTGCGCTGACACATTTGGCAAAATTTTCCTGATTTTCGGTATTTTAAGGCCAGCCAGTCACCGATTTCCAACCGAATCACTCCGTATAAGAGTACCTCCCGATTTAAAATATTTTGAACTTTTTGAATCTTCTATGACTTATACTTCGAATCTCAGGATCTTCTGCATTTTTTCTCTCCAAATGTTGGGTGCCTTTGTATATGGTCAAGACAATATAAAATCCTTGGAAAAAATTGACGCAAGAACCTAATAGTAAAAACAAGTAAAAAAAAAACTGTAAGTTCGATCGGAACGAACTTTGAATACCCTCTACCATTTGGTACGAATTTGGAAATTTTCAAAAAAAAATAAAATCCGTTAAAAATTCTGTTAAAATCTTAAAAATACCGAATGTAGCCATTATATTAGAGTTTATACAACGGCGTGGACCTGCATAGGCAACTTTTGTCATAAGCCATTAGAATACTAAAATGCGATACTTGAAAAAAATTATGTTTATAATGTATCTAAAATCATAAAAATACCGAATATGGGAAAGTATCATGGGGGTAATACCAATGTAGTATCCATTACGAACTTCAAATACTAAATTTGAAACAATTCCGGTGAATAATGTCGCTAAAATCATCAAAATACCGAATATCGGGAGGTATTGTTATATGGGGGGCTATACCATAATATATATTTGAGTAAAATTTTATCAACTTTCTTCATTTCGTTCGGAATTAGTGTGATTTCCACAGACGAACGGACATCTCTAAATCGACATAGAATGCTGTTCAAGAATATGCTGATCAAGAATATATATACTTTGTGGGGTCTAAAATGCATATTTAGAGGTGTTACAAACTGAATGACAAACTTAATATACCATCCATACTATGGTGGAGGCTATAAAAATGAGAAAAAAATTGCAATTGCTAAATTTAGCGAAAATATTTTTATACTCTCCACCTTGGAAAGGAGGGTACATTAACTTTGTCATTCCGTTTGTAACATCCCTAAATATTCATCGAAGACCCCATAAAGTATATATTCATGATCAGAATAAATTTCTAAGTCGTTTTAACGATATCCGTCTGTATGTCTGTGGAAATCACGATACAGCCCACATTACTTGACGTAGAGCTTCAAAATTTGGCAGATTAATATTTATTGCGTCTAGGATGGTAGTTATTGAAAATGAGATATATCGGAACACTCTTTGGTATAGCCTCTTTCGATATTCGGTATGTTGATGATTTTTGTCACATTTTTCCACGGATTTGTCCAACAATTGGTATTTGCAGTTCGTAATGGATTCTACATCCTGTGGCAGAACATATTATGTATAGTTCCACGTTTTCAAATAGCTCCCACATAATGGTACCTCAAGGTATTGATGATTTTTGACACATTTTTCCACGGATTTGTCTAAGAATTTGGCCTTACCCTCTTTATGGTTATTTTGAAAAGTTTAAAAGCACTATCCAAACGGTCTTACTGATATTTGTGCTTAAAGTGGAACACATTTGAATTCAGATACTTTTATATAAAAATGTTTCCCTTACCCAAGGGGGGAGGTTATTAAAATACTGGCCCGGCTAACTTAATGTTTATATCCTAAACCACATAGTGGTAAGGGTATTATGTATTTGTGCATTTGTTTGTAACATGGACAAGGAAGCGATATAGACCCATAGTTACTTTTGAGGATCTCTATAGAATCACTTTCTGAGTTGATTTATGCATGTCAGTCCGTCTGTCCATGTATTCTTGTGAATAAAATGCAGGTCGCATTTATTATCCGATTAATATGAAATTATGCACAAGACATTTGTTTGGCCCAAGGACGAACTCTATTGAAATTGGAAATAATCGGTAAAAATTTAGATATAGCTCCCATATATAATTCGTACGATTTGCCTTTTATTGTGCACCAATTGTGTAATATCAGCCTGAATAGTAAGGAATTTTGCACATACAAACAAATTATATCTGAAAATAAGTATGCCAAAATTTGATCGAAATCGGTTCAGATATAGCTATAGCTCCAATATATATTGTTCATCCGATTTGTTATTTTAGTCCTCTGAAGCCGTAATATGCACTCTGCAACAACAATTTTTGGGGAAATCTATCAAATACAGCTCAGAAATACCTTTGCTAAATTTTATCGAGATCGGTTCGGATTTGGATATATCTCCCATATATAACTTCGTCCAATTTACCTTTTATTGTGCACCAAACCTCTAATATTTGTCCAAATGGGATGGAATTTGGCACTTACAGCCAAATTGAGTCTAGAAGCTAGTATGTCAAATTTGGTGAAGATCGGTTCAGATATAGCTATAGCTCCCATATATATTGTTCATCCGATTTGTTATATTTGTCTTCCGCAGCCGTAATATGCGCTCTCTAACAACGATATTCAGGGAAATATATGAAACACAGCTCATAAATATCTTTGCCAAATTTTATCAAGATCGGTTCAGATTTGGATATAGCTCCTATATATATCAAATGGGCAATACAAGTCCAAATTTAAAAGATACAAATGCTTCGGCATATTTAGTCTTTTGAACATGAAATTATAATTATAATCATGGCGTATGTGGTTGAATTCTCCCATAAAAACTTTTAATTGTTACGTGGAGCTCTACTAAATTAGCAAAGTGGTGTAGGGTATTATAAAGTCGGCCCACATGACTCTAAGACGATATGGAAGCTGGCTTTTATTTGTTTAATATTTGTCACATAACTATAATATTAGTGACCGCTTCATTTGACTGATCTATTGATTTAAACGTATTCTCACGAAGGAATGCATAAGTTCTATATAACTAAATTTAGCTACTTATTCAATATGTTTTTCATTTCCGATCATAACATGTTATTCACTGAATGATGTCATATGAATTTCCAAATATTTGCATTGATGTTTTTATTTTCTTTGAAAGACAAGAGGATTGCATTTGCTAGCTCTAAATATAATGTTCGAAAACAGTATGGCGACTAGTATATATACGTCATGTTCAGGAGCACATTTAAGTGCAGTATTTCCAAACGACAACATGAAATACGAAATAATTTTCATTTTTGCCATATTTGTGTCGGCGGCTGTGGTTAATGCTGAACTTACCCCCGAGAAGCATGAGCTTTCGGAAGCAATAATTAAAGAGGAAACTGTAAGTTCTTCAAAGTACATTTAATATTAAAATAGATAATTAATTTTCCTGTTCATTGTTTCAATACAGAAATATGTCGATCGTGAGTGTTTCGATCAGGTGAAAGCTGAGTTTATGCGGCAACTTGATGATGCCATTGACACATATATTGACCGAGTTGAAAATGGTGGAATTATTTACAGAAAGGGAGTTCGCTTAAATGTCACGCGATTTATTTATAAAACTCTGCTGCCAAAATCTGTTGTAAGTGCTAAATTACCCACCTAAACTTAAATTATTTTAAGAGATTTATGAAAAATAATTATTTTATTTATTTGGTATTTTAGGTCAATGCAAGCGAAGAATGTATACAAAAAGTGAGGGATGTTTTCAGAGTGATTATGAAGAGACGTTATGGCAGATTTATTAGAACCATTGATCCCTATTTTTAAAAAATAATAACAGCTGAAATAAATTTTCAAAAATTGTGGTTCTCAAGACCTTTCTGCAACAAGTGTGGCGGATGGGAAGTGATTTTTCATTTCATGTTTTTAGCAACCTGGAAATTGTGTAGACATCCTGTAAATATCCCAATTTTTAATTTAATTTTTAATTTTGTGTCAAATATCATTCCACGACACAAAATCGATATATCAGCAGTGTTTTAAAGTCCTGGCAGCATTTTTATACCCTCCACCATCGTATGGAAGGGTACATTAAGTTTGTCATTCCGTTTGTAACACCTCGAAATACACATTTTAGACCCACAAAGTACATATATTTTTGATCATCATAAAATTCTATGTCGATTTAGCGATGGCCGTCCGTCTGTGGAAATCACTCTAGCTTCCGAACGAATTGAAGTAGATTGATAAAATTTTGCTCAAATGTATGTTATGTCTGCAGGACTTTTGGTATTGAAAAAGGGTCATGTATGTCCACGTTTTGGTATAGCCCCCATATAACTGCACTTCCCGATATTCGGTATTTTCATGATTTTAGCGACATTTTCCATCGGAATAGTATCAAATTTGGTATTTGAAGTTCGTAATGGATGCTACAGCCTAAGGCAGAAAACAGAATTTTTAACGGATTTTACTGTTTTTGAGAATTGTCAAATTCGTCCCAAATAATGGAGGGTATTCAAAGTTCGGCTTGGCCGAACATACAGCTTTTTTACTTGTTCAGTATAAGGTAGATTGATTACCTTTAGAATTAATCGACTTAGATGACTAAAATTTGTAGCATCAGACAAAAGGTTTTGCGAACGTGAAATGTAAACTGTGACTTCGATCAAAATATTCTTCATGTAAGTCAAATAAAACATCATCTGTCGGAATTAATTTTTTATCCCCGAAGAAATTCAAAGACTAATTTTCAGGCCATTTAATTGGAAAATATGGCCGTCAAACTATGGCTGTAAGTAAAATCAGGAAGTATTTCTTAATAAGGACTGTAGCAAAACGTAGACCTATATTGATATTTAGACCCTACATCACATAGTGGTAAGGGTATTTTGTCTTTGTGCATTTGGCTGTAACATGGAGAAGTAAGCGAGATAGACCAATAGCTACTTTTGAGCATCTTCATAGAATCACTTTCTGAATCGATTTATGCATGTTAGTCCGTCAGTCTATCTGTCCGTCCGTCTGTCCATGTATAATTGTGAACAAAATGTTGGTCGCATTTATTATCCGATGGAGATTTCTAAACAATATTTGTTTTGCATAAGTCCGAACCCTATTGAATTTGGTGAGAATCGGTTCAAATTTAGATATTGCTCCCATATAAAGGGTGAGATGAAAAAACTGCAAACAACTTTAGACTGCTGTCATTTCTAAGTCACTCGTCCGACAGCTGTTAAAATGATTCCAGTGACAGCTTATTATATTGTTTAAACACGTACAAAAGTATTTTGGTGAGAATTTTCCAGAAAAAAAGTTTTTCCTGATAGAATTTAAGTGTGATAGTGTAATTTCTTTATATTTGGCTAGAAACCGAAAAGTGGCAATCGTTAGAGCACTCCAGCATTTAAATGTGAATTAATCTTTTGTGTCTCGTACTATCGCTCGTTACCGTGATACTGGTCGCGTAGCCCGACGTCAAGGAAGTGGCCGGAAGAAAACAGCAATATCAGCAGAAAAGGTTCGAAAAAGAAAAGGTTCGCAGTGGCCGAAGAATGGCTCTTGACCTGAACATATCGCAATATTCCATTCGGCAAATATTGAAAAATGAGTTCGGGGTAATGCCATTGAAATTCCAAAAAGTGCAAGAACTTACACCGCAACAGAAAGAAAATAGACTCAAAAGAGCTAAATAGTTGCTTGGCTTGGCCGAAAGTGGTGAACTGCCAAATTTGGGTTTCTCAAATGAGAAAATATTCGTTGTTCAGCAGTTAGTAAACTAACAAAATGATCGTGTTTATTTGACAAAGAGGTCAGCCGAAAATGTGCACATTCGGTTGGCCACCAGAGCTCAAGCGCCCGCCATAGTGATGGTGTGGGCCGCCATAACAGCCGATGGTCGCCTGTCTTCATCAACCGTGGCATCAGAATAAATGCCGAATATTATCGCGCAAATATTCTGGAGGGTGCATTAAAGCAAGCAATTTGGCCGCAGATCTTGGACATTCCAACCGGGACTCAGCACCATGCACTCAGCACGCGCCACCCAAGAATGGTTACAAAATAAAGTTCCTCGCTTCATTTCCAACGTACAATGGCCACCAAAATCTCCGGAATCCAATCCGTTGGACTATTGTGTCTGGAGTATTTTGGAATGCATGGTTGGCACTAAAAATACCAAAGTGTCGATCACCTCAGGCAAGCGCTTCGCCGGGAATGGGCGAAAATACCGCAGAGCAACATTCGGGCAGCGTTGACGGTTTCATTGGCTGTTTGAAGGCCACAATTCGTGCCAAAGGTGACCAATTCGAACAAATCTAAACTTATTCTAAAATTTGATGCTATATCCGGCATCGGCTCAGATTTTTATATATTTTCGATATTATGGTTATTGTCCACCATATATGTAATATCGGTCCTAATTGGATAGATTTTTATACCCTCCACCATACATAGTATGGAAGGTATATTAAGTTCGTCATTCCGTTTGTAACTCATCGAAATAATAATTTTAGACGCAACATAGTGTATATCCTTGATCAGCGAAAAATTCTAAGACGATTAAGCCCTGTCCGTCCGTCTGTGCGTATCTCTGTCAGTCCGTCTGTTGTAATCACGCTGGAGTCAAAACGAATTAAGATATTAACTGATCTGTGCAGTCTTTTGTGTGCAGGCAGGTTAAGTTCGAAGATTGGCTGCATCGGTCCACGATGTGGAATGGCCCCCATATAACGGTACCCCCCCGATTTTCGGTATTTTGATGATTTTAGCCATATTTTTCAATGGCATTGTCTGAAATTCAACACAAGGGGTTCTATGTGTATGATCGCTTTAACCCCTGAAAGAGAATTGTCTATGTAGGTCGGTATTTTGATGATTTTATGCACATATGTTAATGGAATTGTCAGAAATTTTACACAAGAAGTTCATTGTGAGTACTTTACCCTGAAAAGGAAGTTTTTATATAGGACCATAATATCGTACAGCCCTATATATATACGATACCTCCCGATATTCGGTATTTTAATGATTTTAGCCACATCTTCATTGAATTGTCTGAAATTCCACACAAGTGGTTCCTTGTGAATGCTTTATCCCCTGGAAGAGAATTAACTATATAGGTCTACGTTTTAGTATGGCAACCATATAACGCTACCCCGATATATTCGGTACTTTGACGATTTTCGCAACATTTTCACCGGAATTGCGTCAAATTTCGTATTTCGTAATGGGTACTGCAACCTTGGACGGAAAATTGTCCTTTATTCGGTATTAAATATCATCTAATACCGACATTATTCATAGGAATTGTTTCAAATGTCATATTTGAAGTTCGGAATCGGTACTGAAGCCTATGAGAGAAAATTACTTATCCAGCACCATGCACCCCCTTAGAAAGGTTTTTATTTGAGCGATATTTTTCGACAGAATGTTTTTTTTTTTTTTTTTTTTTTTTTTTTTTTTTTGAAATATTTCAAGTTCCTTCCTAATGGTGGAGGGTATAAAAAGTTCGTCCCGTCTGAACTTAGCTGATTTTTACTTGTTAAATATTGATTGTCGCACATTATAAAGTATTAAAATTTATTTTGATTTAACCATCTGTATATTTTTATGTACTTAACTTTTGTTAACTATTGTATTATATTTTTTTCTTTTTTTTTGTAATTATTTTTATATAATTAAAAAATTCAAATAATTTGGAAATATGGTTTCACATATACCGGAAGTCATAGATTACAGTTCACTCAACTAAAAACACATTTCAGCACCAATCGCCTTTTCTAAAGACATTATTTGAACTGTTCCAATTAGAATTTTAATAGGGGGTAAAATGGGTTCCCATGATATATAAAATGCTTCAAACATTTACAAATATTTGAACTCATGTTTTGATGAATGGGGTTTTTTGATATTTTTATTGTTTAACAATAGAGCGAATTTAGGCTCCATTAATTTTGGGGTTCATATAAATTTCCAGTTTTGAAAGAGTAATTTCAGTGTAAAACCCGTAGCATTTGCCTAAACATCAATATGAAATATCAAACGGTTTTAATTTGTGCCATAATTTTGCCAGCCGTCTTGGCCATAACACCGCAGAGACACAGAGTCGCTGAGTTGCTGATTGGCGATGAAGCTGTAGGTTTGAAACCACATTCATTATTATTTAATATTAAATCATTTTTCCCCTCAGAACCTCATTGATCCCGATTGTTTCGCCCAAGTTAAAAACGAATTAATGCGTGAAATCGACGATGCCGTGGAGAAATATGTTGAGAAGGTCGAAAACGGCCAGATCATTTACAAAAAGGGTCTTCACATGAATGTTTCCAGTTTCCTTGATAGAACCCTGTTGCCCAGTGTTTTGGTAGGTCTTAAGCTCTGGAATTTTTTAAAATTTTAATAATTCTGGTAATTTCTTTTATTTTATTGTAGGTCCACGCCAGTGAGGAGTGTATTGAACATGTTAAAGAAGTTTTCAAAGTGATTTTGAAAAATCGCTATGGCGATGCTATTAAAGCTATTGATCCTGATTTCTAATTAAAATGAGTACAAATTTTTTATAGATTTAAAAGTTTTAGTTCTATAGTTTTAGAAATTTTGAAATGTTCTTAAAAATAAAATATTTTTATACACATATACATTTTCTAAAAATTCTTTATAGTACATTTATAAAAGGGTGAATTTTTAAGAGCAGCAGGTTAGAAAACCAGCAAAGAAAGTCTTAAAGTCGGGCGGGGCCGACTTTATGATACCCTACACCACTTTGCTTATTTAGTAGAGCTCCATATAACAATTAAAAGTGTTTATGGGAGAATTCAATCATACACCCTATGATTATAATTATAATTTAAAGTTCAAAAGACTAAATATGCCGAAGCATTTGTATCTTTTAAATTCCGACTTGTATTGTCCATTTGATATATATGGGAGCTATATCCAAATCTGAATCGATCTCGATAGAATTTGGCAAAGATATTTCAGAGCTGTATTTGATATATTTCCCTAAATATAGTTGTTACCGAGTGCATATTACGGCTGTGGGTAACAAATATAACAAATCAGATGAACAATATATGTGGGAGCTATAGCTACATCTGAGCCGATCTTCTCCAAATTTGACGTACTTGCTTCTAGAGTCAATTCGGTCGTAAGTTCTAAATTTCATCCCATTTGGACAAATATTAGACGTTTGGTGCACAATAAAATGTAAATTGGGCGAAGTTATATATGGGAGATATATCCAAATCCGAACCGATCTCGATAAAATTTTACAAATGTATTTCTGAGCTGTATTTGATATATTTCCCCAAATATTGTTGTTACAGAGTGCACATTACGGCTGCGGAGAACTAAAATAACAAATCGGATGAACAATATATATTGCAGCTATAGCTATATCTGAACCAATTTCGATCAAATTTGGCATACTTATTTTCAGGCCTGATTTGGTTGTATGTGCAAAATTCCATACTATTCGGGCAGATCGGACGAAGATATATATGTAAGCTATATATAAATTTTTACCAATTATTTCCAATTTCAATAGGGTTCGTCCTTGGGCCAAACAAATGATTTGTGCAAAATTTCATCTGGATCGGGTAATAAAAGCGAACTGTACTTTGTTCACAAAAATACATGGACAGACGGACGGACATGCATAAATCGACTCAGAATGTGATTCTATGCAGATCATCAAAGGAACTATGGGTCTGTCTTGTTTCCTTTTGCCTGTTAAAAACAAATGCACAATTATATTATTAGATTTTAATTATACCCTACACCACCTTGTGGTGTATTCATTGTATTCGGCAAACTAATAGAGCTAGAGTTCAGAAATTTGGAATTAGGGTAAATATTTACTAAATAGTACTAAATTGGTTTAGGAAAAACTTAATTTGGTATTGGGTGTACGGATATTATTTGAAATCTGAAAGTTGGCATTATGGTAACAGGGAAGAGATTTGGAGGTTGTTTTTGGAAATTCGATCTAAAAATTTACGAAAAGTAGTAAATGACATTAATTTGATATTTGGGGGACGAGGGTTGAGATTTGGAGGTTGTTTCGGAAATTCGTACTAAAAACTAACAAAAAGTACTAACTGGCACTAATTTGGGATTTGGTGGAGGAGGTGCTTTTGGAAATTCGTTCCGAAAATTAACGAAAAGAACTAAATGACACTAATTTGGTATTTAGGGGAGAAATATCGGCGGAAATCTAAAATTTGAAAAAGTGGAATTAGAAATTCGTATTTAAAAATTCCAAAAGGAATAATTGGTACTAAATTTGGTATTTAGCATTTGATAAGGGATAACTATGGAATTCTGAGATTTGAAATGAGGATCCAGAAGTTATTTTTGGAAGTTCGAACCATAATTGTACTAAAATGTAATAAATTTGGTACAATTTGATATTACGTGAAAAGAACAGCCTTCACATTTCCTTTTTGAATTATATTTGGAGACTAGTATCGGAGATTTAGGTTGGAATTTTGAAATATTGACATTGCTGTCTCTGTCAGAAAAAAAGTACACAAAATACTAAATAGTACTATATTTAGAATTTGGGTTAGGGTTCACTGATGGAGTGTAGGATATACGCATCATTTTTTTACCCTCCACCATAGTATGGAGGGTATATTAAGTTTTTTATTCCGTTTGAAACACCTCGACATATACATTTTAGAACCCACAAAGTAAATATATTCTTGATCAGCATAAAATTCTATGTCGATTTAGCGATGTTCGTCTGTCCGTCTATGGAAATCACTCTAGCTTCCGAACGAATGGAAGTAGATTGATAAAATTTTTCTCAAATGTATATCATGTCTGCAGGACATTTTGATATTGAAAATGGGTCATGAAGGTCCACGTCTTGGTATAGCACCCACATAACGGTACCTCCCGATATTCGGAATTTTGATGATTTTTGCTACAATATCCACCGGAATTGTTTCAATTTTGGTATTTGAAGTTCGCAATATATACCTTAGCCTATGACAGAAAATTGTCTGTGCAGATCCACGTCTTCGTTTAGCCCCCATATAACGGTACCTCCCAATATTCGGTATTTTGATGATTTTAGCGTCACTATTCACCAGAATTGTTTCAAATTACGTATTTAAAGTTCGTTGTACAGTCTGTGACAGAAAATTGTCTATGTAGGTCCAGGTCTTCGTATAGACCCCATATATCAGTACCTCCCTATATAAGATATTCTGATGATTTTAGTGACATTATTCACCGTTTATTTTATGTTTCGAAATTGAATATGGTAATGGCTTATGACAAACAATGCCTATGTAGGTCCACGTCGTATAGACGGCTATATTTGTTGTTTTTAAAATTATAACAGAATTTTTTAAGGACTGTATTTTTTGAAAATTTCGAAATTCGTTCCAAATGGTGGAGGGTATTCAATGTTCGGCCCTGCCGAACTTACTGCTTTTCAACTTGTTTTATTTGAAATTGCCTGTACAGGGTAAGATGAACAAGTTGCAACCAACTTCAGATTGCTGTCATTTCTAAGCCACTCATCCGACAGCTGTTAAAATGATGTCCGACTGTCTGTTTAAATCACGATACAGCCCACATTATTTGACGTCGAGCGTCAAAATTTAGCAAAATAATTTATATTGTGTCTAGGATGGTTGGTGTTGAAAATGAGATTTATCCGTCCACGTTTTGGTATAGTCCCCATATAACGGTACCTTCCGATATTCGGTATTTTGATGATTTTTCCACATTTTTCACGGATTTGTCTAAAAATTTGTATTTGTTGGTCATAATGGATCCTTATTCGTGTGGCGAAATATTGTATGTATGGGTTTACGCTTTGGTATAGCCCCCATATAACGGTACCTCCCGATATACGGTATTTTGATGGTTTTTGCCATATTTTTTCATGAGTTTGTCTAAAAATTGGTATTTGTAGGTCATAATGGGTTCTAGGTTCAGTGGCAAAACATTGCATGTATAGGTCCACGATTTGGTATAGCTCCGAAATAATGGTACCTCCCGATATTCGGTATTTTGATGGTTTTTGCCACATTTTTTAACGATTTTTCTGAAAATTGGAATTTGTAGGTCATAAAGGATCCTAGTTCGTGTGGTGATAAATTATATGTATGGGTCCATGCTTTGGCATAGCCCCCATATAACGGTACCTCTCGATTTTTGGTATTTTGATGATTTTTGCCACATTTTCCCACGAATATGTCTAAATATTGGTATTTGTGGGTCATAATGGATTCTAATGTTTCCTTTACCCTGAGGTGGAGGGTATTAAAATGGGAGGGTATTATATGACCTATTTTCAATGCCAACAATTCTGCGATCCGAAAATACACCTGACTTAAATTTTATGAACCGACTTCATTCCGTTTGGGAGCTAGAGCGATTACCATAGACGGACGGGTATGGCTAATTCGACATACTAAAATGCATATTTCGAGGTGTTACAAACGGAATGACTAACTTACTACCCTACTATGGTGGATGGTATAAATATTGTCAACATTAGACTACCTGATGCCGTTTGTTATATGCGTCGGATTTAAGGTAAATAACTAAATTTCCTTTTATTTAGAAAGAGAATCAACAAACAACTTATCAAATATTGGCACGAATGTTTTACTAATTAAAATAGAAAGAATTTGAAAAGAAAAATGTGAAAAAATTCATTCTTTTAGAAATAAGAATACACCGAGGTGTCAGTCAACTTCGTATAAATGAAACGTATTTAAATGTTTTAATTCGGAAAAAAATCGATACAGTCTTTAGAACGTTTTCGTCAAAACATAGACATGAAATTACAATTCATTTTATTGATCGGTATTATTTTGCCAGCTGTGCTAGTCTCAGTCCGAGTGCCCCAAGATAAACATCATCTGCTAGAGTTGTTGTTCTCCGATGAGGAGGTGAGTTGTGCCAAAGAAGATGCATATTGATAGAGAGGCTTTACACTAGTTCCTAAACGTATGAGTGATTGCGTATATTACATATCACTCATACGTTAAGTTTTCATACAAACGACCGGAGTACACGAAACTAGTTTGTTCCAATCGACAACTCCATATAATGACACTTACCTGACTTATTAAGGCGATGTAAATTAAAATAAGAATTTTATTTTTTCCCCCCTTCAGAATCTCATTGACCACGAATGTTTCGATGCCGTTAAAGATGAACTCATGAGAGAACTGGATGATGTCGTAGACTATTTGGTTGAAAGAGTCGAAAACGATATGCCAGTTTACAGGAAAGGTCTCCGCGTAAACATCGCCAAGCTCATTGATGAACAATTGTTGCCTAAACATTTGGTAAGTGTAATTTTCGTACAAAATAGTGCGGATTTTGAATATGACGAAATATTTTCTTTTATTCCAGGTCGATGCAAGTGATGATTGCATTCGTCGCGTGAAACAAGTCTATAAAATCGTTCTCAAAAAGAGGTACGGCAAGCCATTAAAAACCATTGATCCTGATTTTTAAGGCCTTAGCAATGTAACATATTTTTAATACTGCCAATAAATCTATGGTCAAATGAAGCTTTTAATTGTTGATCAAATCAAAAAAAAAATGTTCCAAAAATCCTCAAAAAATAGTGCTTTGACATGAACGGTTCAGAGATCTCCCAACAAAAACTTGAGAACGGTATGGACAGAAGAACCCATTAAATGCTATTATTTTCTGTATTCCCAGTGGGTTAAAAATGATGGGGTATTATTAAACAAGTAAAAAAACATTAAGTTCGGCCGTGCCACCTTAGAGTAAAGGAAACATTAGAGCTGATTATGACCCACAAATACAAATTTTTAGACATATTCATGGGAAAATGTGCCAAAAACCATCAAAATACCGAATATCGGGAAATATGGCTACACGGGGCTATACAAAAACGTGAACTTATACATACAATATTTCGGCAACGGAGCTAGAACCCATTAGGACACAAAAATACCAATTTTTAGACAAATCCGCGAAGAAATGTGGCAAAAATCTTCAAATACCGAATATCTGGAGGTACCATGATATGGGATCTATACCAAAACGTGGACCTATACATACAATGTTTCGCCACCGCAGCCAGAACCCATTATGACCAACAAATACCAATTTTTAGACAAATCCGTGAAAAAATGTGGCAAAAATCATCAAAATGCCGAATATCGGGAGGTACCGTTATATGGGGACTATACCAAAACGTGGAGGGATATATCTCTTTTTCAATACCAACCATCCTAGACCCAATACAAATTATTTTGGTAAATTTTGACGCTCATCGACATCGTTAAATCGTCAAATAATGTGGGCTGTATCGTGATTTCAAAAGACAGATGGCCTGACAGACGGACAGGCAGACGGACATCGTTAAATCGACTTAGAATTTTATGCTGATTATGAATATATATACATTATGGGGTCTACGACGAATATTTAGGGATGTTAAAAACGGAATGACAAAGTTATGGTATATTAAAGGTGGAGGACATAATAATGGGCTGTTATTAGAAAACACAAATCAATAAGACCTTTTTTACCACCCTCCAAATGTTTATACCCATCGAAGGCATCATGAAAAACGTAAAAAATCCGTTTGAAGAAGTGCCTTCTAAATTATCGATGTACCGAAAATCGATACTGTGGCTATACGAAAGCGTAGGCCTACTGCTCTGCCAGAAAAGGCCTGTTACAAACACTGAATATCAATCTTGAGATAATTCCGTTGAAAAATGTGGCGAAAAATGCAAATATCGGAGGGTACTATTATATGGGGCATATACGAAGATGTGGATGATATTGGATAATTTTCTGTCAAAAGAAATGCTACCAATTTCGAACTCCAAATAACAAATTTAAAGCCATTCCGTCGAAAAATTTGACATAAATCATTAAAATTCTGAATATCGTTAGGAAAACTTATGTGGAGACTATACGAAAATGTGGGCATATATAATTAATTCTTATGAGAGGTAATAATACATAATTTCAACACCGAGAACCACCTTTAAATTAATTTCGTTGGAAAATGTCGCTAAAATCGGAAAAATACTAGGAGGTACTATTATATGGGGGTTATACGAAGACGTGGATCTGAAAGTCAATTTTTTAACATAAAGGTGAGCACTCAATTCGATCTCTAAACAATAAATCTCAAAACAATTCTTGTGAAAAAATGTGGCTTAGATCGTGAATTTACCGGAAGCACCATTGCATTGAGTTCAACTAATTTTAAAATTAGCGCTGCAAATATTCTCTTAAAATATCCAATATGGGAATTATACCAAAGAATAGATTTTTTGCCATTTTTTTGCAAGAAGGTATATATTGTATTCAGAATCCAAAAAGTTAAATTACATAAAAATCTGTTGGAAATCTTTGTCAAAATCTTGAAAATCCCTCAAATTCTATGGAAACTATATCAAAAACATGTTCAATATTGACAATTTTTGACACATCAATTTGTTACCCTGTAGCAGAAAAAAATGGTTAGTTTTGCAACATTTATTGAAAATGTGTGGTAAAAATCCTCCAAAGAAGTAAAATACGGGGTGGGGTTCTGCGGGAGCTATATAAAATTGAGGGTCCATATTAAGATTATTTTGCAAGGACATCAGAAATCCATAAGAACACTAGATATCAAATTTCAGTTAATTTCAATTAAATATGAAATTAAAATTCCTTCAAATTGGAGAGTACCGTTATATAGGGACTTTGCCTAAACTTTGACCGATATTCACAATTTTTTGATTGCATTATTTCTTACTCTAAAAAAATCAGATTTCTTAGTGGTATAGAAACATTTTTGACACACATTCCCATACATATTGAACCACTGTGCATTGCATGTCGAATGTACGAAGATATGGACTTTATTAGGTATTTTCACTCAAAGGAAATGATACCAAATTTTGAATAACTCAAAATATCTCCCATACTACGGTATAGGGTATAATCAAACAATACTTTTATACCCCCACCATACTATGGAGGGTATATTAATTTTGTCATTCCGTGTGTAACTCCTCGAAATACTCATGTCTGACCCAACAAAGTATATATATTCTTGATCATCGTAAAATTCTAAGTCGATTTAGCCATGTCCGTCTGTGTGTCTGTCTGTCTGTTGTAATCACGCTATTTTTCAAACGAATAGAGATAGAAGGCTAAAATTTGCACACATGTTTATTTTTCCAGTAGGCAGGTTAAGTTCGTAAATGGTCCACGTTTTTATATAGCCCTCATATAACAATACCTCGGTATTTTGATGATTTTAGCGACATTATTCATCGATTTTTTTAAATTTGATATTTGAAGTTCCATAGGGATATTACAGCCTAAGACAGAAAATTTACTGTGCCACGGTCCACGTTTTCGTATAGCCCCTATATAACGGTACCTCCCCCTATTCGGTATTTTGATGATTTTAGCGACATTATTCACCGGAATTGTTTCAAATTACGTTTTTAAAATTCGTAATGGGATTTACAGTCTGTGACAGAAATTTGTCTATGCAGGTCCAGGTTTTCGTTTAGGCCCCATATATCAGTACCTCCCTAAATTCGGTGTTTTAACGTGCTTAGGTACAATACCCACTGAAATTGTTTAAGATGTCGTATTTGAACTTCGTAATGGATGCTACAGCCTATGACAGAAAATTGTCTATGCTGGTCCAGGTCTTCGTATAGGCCCCATATGTAACGGCTATTTTCTTATAGACCCTAATATAACGGCTATATTCGGTATTTTTAAGAGTTTAACAGAATTTTTAACAGATTATATTTTCTGAAAAAAGTTCGGCCGGGCCGAACTTTGAATACCCTCCACATATTCAAAGTTCGGCCCGGCCGAACGTACTGTTTTTTAACTTTTTTTTTAAGTTTCACATTTGAATTTTATAATGGCTTATGAAAAAAATTACCTATGCAGGTCCATGTCGTCGTATTGATCCTAATATAACGGCTACATTCGGTATTTCTAAGATTTTAACGGATTTTATTGTTTTTGAGAATTGCCAAATTCGTTCCATATAGTGGAGTGTATTCAAAGTTCGAACAAAGTTTCTTACATGTTTCTTCTTATTTGTCGTCTTTTAGTCGCCTTATTTCGGATTTGAAGCTTGATTTATAAGTCGCAAGTCTGCCAAGTAATTATTAGAACAACTCATTATTTGGTAATGGAAGTTACTGCTGAACACTAATTGCAAAATTATTTTCTTCCTCAAAGCGAAAAGAAATAATTTAGACCTAATTAAAATTATTATTTTAATTTTAATAAAAATTATTCCACCTCATGTTTTTGGAAATTCGTTTAGAACAATAAAATATACTGTAAAGGTTTTTTTCATTACGAAGCTGTTTCATATAATTAATGACATACTCTCAGCGGAATTCATTTGTTAGTTGTATTATTATCTTTGGAGCCGAAACTATTTAAAATGTATCTACAGTATATTATTGGTGTAATATTTTTTGCAATGACGGGACTAGCATTTGGCCAATCGTCATATCCCAGCGGCAGTCCATATTCACCTTTAGATTAGATTTTTCAACAATTTAAAAATTATGGATTAATAAATGAACCTTATGAACCTTATTTGAATGCGTATCATGACTGTAGAGTAGTCGCAATTTGGGAACTATATTGAACTCTGAATCGATTTTCAACAAATTTGTCTTAGGCTTTTGTACATCTAATAATATACCAAAAAACATTGCTGTATAGTGCATGATATAGCTTCGATACGAATTATATTAACGGAACGTGTTTCACCAAATCAAAAAATTCGGTTGAATATGAAAAAATCATACAAGTTGGGCTGATATTATGTAATTACATTATGATATTATGCAATAACCGTGAAATCAGATAAAGATTTATATCGAAGCGAATATATAAAAATCTGAACCGATCTCGATAAAATTTGATAGAATTATTTTCGAGCTGTATCTGATGTCCGGTGTCAAATATCATTGTTGTGGAGTGCATATGAAACACATATATGGGAGCTATAGCTATATCTGAACCGATTTTTTTTGAAAATTTGAAATGCTTGTTTCTATAATGAATTCAGTGGGAATTGCCAAAATTCAGTCCATTTGGGCTTATATTAGCCATTTGGTGCACAATAAACCTGACATCCAATCTCGATAAATTTGACAGGGCTGTAAGTTACCCTCTGGAAAAATATTGTCTATATTGGTCCACGATATCATATATCCCCTATATATAGGTAACTCCCTATATTCGGTATTTTTATGATTTTTTTTTCAATGGAATTGTCTGAAAATCCACAACAAGAAGTTCTTTCTAAGCACTTTACCACCTGAAACTGAATTCTCTATATAGGTCCACGTCTTCGTATGGCCTTTCTTAAACGGTACCTCCCAATATTCGGTATTTTGATGATTTTGGCGACAGTATTCACCGGAGTTGTTTTAAATTACGTATTTAGAGTTCGTAATGGGAACAACAGTCTATGAGAGGAAATTGTCTATGAAGGTCCTGGCCTTCGTATATCCCCCTTATAACGGCACCTCCCGATATT